TCTATGATATTGTTTGTACAATGGAGGACAAGTTTCGAAAATATTACGAAAATATGCCAATGATTTTGCCAATTGCAGCTGTAATGGATCCTCGTATTTACAGTGTGATTTTTAAAAAGGAAACTAACAAAAACCCAGGGAGACATGGCAACATAAAGCAGGACATTTTATCATCCCTAATCACAAATTGAAAATAAGAGCCAGAAGTGCCTGTCTGGAGCCCTCAGATAACATTCATGGTCAGAAAGTACTGCTTACAAAGAAGTCCTCAATCCAAATAATTCGAAAAAAAGGGGCTAAGTAGGCCTTTCCTCAATTACAGGAACAACAAGAGGAAGGTACATAGTTTGAATGCCCAAGGACAAGAGATTTTCGTGCAACAAAAAAATATAACTTGCAGGTGTTTCACATCTACAAATTACTAAAAGAAATTATAAAGCTACAAAATTTAATAACCGAGTAGAAACGACTAATAAATCTTACAGCCTCCAAAACCAAACTAATGTTTCTCTGAAGATGTAGCATTAATGTGCTCCAAGTCTATCTTGCATTGCTCCCTCAACTCTGTTAGAGGGAGTAGATTAGTTTCCTGCACAAGGCAATAATTTTTTGTAAGTTAATGCTTCACAAGATCTTAATTTGGAAGATATGGAGAACAATTTATTCATGTGTGTATATATGCCAACTGCAAGTGCATATGCCACATGCCCACTTGTTGGAAGGAGAGAGGAGATATTAGAACTTCAAAAATACTAAAGAAAAGAACACAACAGGTACAGTAGAGCATAGAACCATTCAAATCAGAAGGAAAAGCATATATTAGATTATTGGCATCTATCGTTAATTTCTATCCATCATATACTGCTCTTAGGTCAGACTGGAAGAAAGACAGCAGTTTTAAACTTGGAAAAGATCCAATGAAAGAGAAGCCTTTAATGATTTTGACAACAATTATCTTACTGAAGCACATATAGCAGGATATCCAGGCTCCAGACTACAGCACAACTCAATTTTGATTCAGTGAATTCACCACATAATTGACCTGAGGAAAATGATCCAGGGCTTAGAGAAATTATTAAGTTTCAACAAAAACTAGGGTTCATCGTTTTGTTAGAAGCCAATTTTAAACTTCAAGGACTAGGGTTGAATTACTTAATTAGACCACAAGGATTTTTAGGTGAAGTTTGATTCTCGAACTGTATATACATATTCAAGTGCACTTAAGCAACAGACTACATCCTTTTGGTGCACAAAATCCTTATTTCTCATAATTCTGGTTTATATTTGGAGCATGTCATGTATTAATTTCCTGAATATCATTATTAATTTCTAGAATATCATGTATTTAACTGAATTCCAATCCGGATTTCAAAAAATTGCTAAGTAGTTTCCCTCTTCATTTTTTTCCCCTAATTGTGTTTGATAGAAATGCCTAGCCTACCATATGGAATTTACTTATCTCATCTAATAGCTCACATGCCTGAATTGCCACTTCAATTCACCATCTCAACTCTCCTGAAGGACTAATTCTAAACCATTTTTGGTGATTCCAAAGTAACCCACAATAAATAAATATATAAAAATATCAACAGTTCCACAAGTTCATGTTACAAGTAAAACCTTAGAAAAAACTCCATTCCGAAGCCTTGATTGCTTTTCAAAAAACCAAAGAGGCTTTTTGCATGTACAGAGGCTAATAGCATTTATTTTTGCTTTCAAAGGCCAGAATTCATGTTAGCCAATTGATAACTGCAGCTTCAATTTAATCTAGCAAAATAACTTGTCATCCTAGACGATACTTGATAGATCAGTATAAAATTGGTAATACTAGGTTTAATGTTCAACACAAAGAAATAAAACCAAGAATAAAAAAGACGAGAATGTGTGAACTTTACTAACTATACGAATCAAATGAAGCATCATCAGGCCATAATGAATGCAGAATCCTTGGACTAACTTGGAGGAAAAGTTTTATTGATACAATGGAGAATATCAACGAAAGAAAGGATGGACTTACAAGCTGGTTAGATTCGTGCTCGCATGTGTCCACCATGTGTTGAAAGAGATACCTCCACTGATGCATCAAATCAGATTCTAACTTTGAAACTTCAGAGAAGTTTCCCAGACCATGTTTCTCAGTTGCCTTACTCCAACGACTTCTTGCAGCCAAAATGCTTGCTTCTTTTTTACTCTTCTTTATTGCTTAAGAAAATTGAATAGCAGTTCGACAAAAGAGAACAAAACCAGATCATAATGGATAAAAACAATTTTCCAATCATAGTTAAATAGTAGCTAACAAGCATGCCCACCAGATATTCGAGCCTTGTTGTCCTGGTAGTGGAGGTCCAACCATATATAAGCAGCTGATCTCTCATTAAAACCATGGACTTATCAATACACTACCATAAACAGATAATATAGGAAATAAAGAATGCAATCAGATGCTTCATGACCCAGAATACTTGAGGCTACAGGCAAGATAAGGGAAATGCTCGGATTGATACCTTTTGTGCAAAAGGAACAAGAGCATGCTTTGATCAAGTCAATCCCTCCACTCACATTAGCACATCCAGCACCCCTTTTAAGTTCAGTGCATTTTTCTAATCCAAGTACTCTAGATTCCTGTGACTCGGATAGTATATTATAGTCAATAGACCCAGACTGACTCAATACAAAACTATCAACATAATTATCATCCCCATAGTTTTTATGATTAGTTTCACTTTGAGTGCCTTCAGAAGTGACTTTGTCTTCATCATCATTGCAAGTCTTTTCATTGCAAACACTATTAGCACCAGTTTCACTAGTTGGCACCAAGATTTTTAACAAAACTGTCAACTAACTCATCATTAGCTTCAGCATTTATACCAAGAAGACCTCTGCCCTTGTCAAGATCTATAAACTTTAGGTTCTCATTTTTGCTGGATATTTTTGAACTGCCATTGCACCATCACCCGCATCACTCACAATAACCTCAGCCACTCTGCTCCTGCCAGTACCTACCAAGCGAGAGCAGTTCTTTTCACTATCTATATTTGAGGTCCCTGAAATCACATTCTCCTGTGATGAATCTATCTTATGACAAACATCAGCTTTGATTTCAATATGATTACAGCTCTGCTCCCACCATGATCTGTCAAAATAGGGTCCATATTATTTTCACTCGCCATTTTACCCATCCCTGAAATAACACTGTCCTTAAAAGAATCAATCTCGTTTTAGCAATCTTCAATGACATTATCAACTACATCCACTAGAATAAAACTCTTGGAAACAGCAGAATCCTTGCATAAATCTAAAGCATCTGCATCCTTATTTTCATTGGGAACTTTCGAAATACTTGATATAACATTCCCTTGCAACAAGTTAATCTCAGTACATGGGCGAGGCAAAACCCATGCCTGTTTAACCCGATCTTCATTTTTGAAATTATTAATCTTAATCCCATATTTTTCTTTCTCGGAAGATTTCCTCTTACCAAGCTGATTCGTAACATCACCAAATACTGATCGTAATTTCTGATGCGTAATTTCTGATGCCCATCAGAACCATTCCTCTCAGCCATCATGAAAATTCACTCGCTAGAATAATAGTACACCCTAATATTCAAAATCCAATTCCATAATTTACTCTATTGCACTTGGTTCACAACCCTATTTCACAGATTTCTCCCCATGGATTTATCAGCCCCTGATCCGAAACATAGAAAAAAACCCAAAGTTAAATACAACAAATTGCAATTAATAATTTTTCAATACAGATCTATAGCAAAAAATATTGTAATAAAAAAACAAAAATCACGACTGTGACATGATATATGACGGATTTCTGATGCAAATTTAAACAATCTACAGATACCATTTTGGTGCTGACCTTGAGGAAGGTAAGAAAGGTTTTGGCTTCTTGGGGATCGAGGGAAAAATGGATTGAGAAAAAAGGCAGAGGGAAAAAGTCGCTGTTTACGTTGGCCGCCTCTACGTTTTGAATTGAGAATTTGGGCGCGCCAAGGTGGTTGGGCAAATTTGCATGTCTCAAAGCCCCATTTCGTATGGATTTGGATCTAATTTAAAGTTAATGATTAATTTTAATCACATGTTGACCTCAAAAAATGATCCAAATGCGTGGCCAACAGAGTTCTTCCACATGAGCTCCTTCTTGCACGTAGCAACATACCGTTTGTCGCTCGTCGCCTTTTTTCGATGGGGGTGAAAACAGTAACGAGCACTCCGACAATCAAATTAGTGAGTTGGTAGACAGAATCTGAGATGTCCGAAAATGATGTTCACCAAAATGCATTTTTTAGTGGTGGTGTACATGTGGATGGTGATAATGTAATTGCTTCTTCTCTCTTTTCAGGGACCAACCCCTTTCTATAGTAGAAGTGTGAGTTTTTATAGTGAAAGGGAATGAGAGATGAACCGTTGAATGTGAAACACGTGGTTTTGAATATAGGGCGAATTATCATCTCCTAGGTGTCAATCCGTTAATCCATGGTAGGCAGCTCATTTGATGCTTCCTCACATTGTTAGGCATTGACCTGACATTTTGGAGCCTGCATATGTCACATCAATGAGTCATAAGGATTTGATTCTTGAGATCTTTTCTATAGAAGATCTTCTAGTACACAGGGTTAAACTTGAGCGATTGTGGCAAGAGTATTAATCGTGTTTCGGATGTATCACTTCAGACTTAGTTTCGGTTGTGACGAAATGAAACGAAGTGCGGGCCTTTGCTATCGTCGGGGTGGCGGATGAAATCAGTTCTTCCACCACGTGGCAAGACGAAATCAGTTCGCTAACATGCGGTGAAGGCGAAATCTGTTCACCTCGGGTGGAGAAGAACGAATCCAGTTCATCCTCCACGCATCGGTCGTATTCATTTTATCCCTTGACGTGGCGATAACTTGGGAGATGACTTGGAAAAACCCGTAACAACATATTTTATTAGTTTCACACATTACACATTTCATCAACTTTATCAAAATCTATTAAAAATCTAATTTAATCCCTACAAAAAAAAAGTTTAAAATTCAAAACCACTTGAGTCGGATAGAATTAGAACGGAGTAGACTCTTAACTTCCGTTTGGAAAAAATAATAAAATGTATAATCAAAAAGTAGAAAAAATTATGAGCCCTGTGAAATGTATGTTTGAAAATGAATTTGATAAAGAACGAGTTTTAAGGAAATAAGGATCAAACATGAGCTAAATGTGAGAACCAAATAATTTTGGTCCAATTTTAGACTTTAGCAACAAAATTGAACTTCCATGTTCGGAAAATTAGAAAGTGACTAAATTAAAATTTAAGTTAGCACAACATGTGAGATGTGTGGATAAAAAGTATAGTTGATTAGCTTATATTAGAATTTAATCACTTTTCAAACATATATTTGATTAGCTTATATTAGAATTTAAACATACATAAATTAAGTCATAGAATAGTTTTATAATCTCCCAATCAAATTATAAACATATATAAATTTATGTGTATTAATACCATATTATGATATGTATCCAAAATGTTCAAAAGATTTGTTGCCAAGAATTTGCTGTGAGAGTGAAAAGAGAAAATATACACAATTTATTTTGTATCATAAAGAATCAGACGAGATTGAACTAAAATAATTAGTACCACTTCAGTCTCAAGGTCAACCCTTTTACGCCATAGTACCAATGATTCATTTTCACAATTTTCAACGAGAAATAGTTTGGTCCAATTCTCAAGAAACTAAAAGTGAACCCATGTTTGTCTTCCCTTAAAACAAAGAGAAAGGTCACATAGAGGTGTCAAGATGGATGGATTTATCAGACCCATGAAAATCGGCCCGGATCGACCCGGGATCGCGGGCCGACCCGTGACCCAAACGGGCGGTTCACTGGTCAAAGAGGTGTGACCCGTGGGCTTCGCGGGCTGCACCTTCATGGGACGTGGTTAACCCGTTGGCCCGTGAATTTTTTTTTAAAAAATTTGAGAAAGGGGGGGCGGGGGGAGCAAACTTAGTTGGGATGTACTTATGCTATAAATATTTGATAATAAGTTAAATTTAACTTTACAAAATTATAAATAATTCATGTAACATTAAATTTGAATTCTATGTAACATTTCTTGGTATAAATATGAATTTATCATTTTATTCAATTGTTAGTTTACATTTAACAAAAACATATTTTTTGTTATAAATATGAAAACTTCTATATTTTTCTAATTTTATTTATATAATAATAGGGTCAAATCGGAACAAATTGCGACCCGCGTGACCGCATGGGTCAGCGGGCGGGTTTGGATTGTAGTCCAAGATTTGTAGACCGACCCGAAACCAGCTCGGAACCCGTAGAGGGCGCGCTTTTTTTCACGCTGACCATTACCGAGCTCATATGTTAACGGGCTGACTTGACCCGGACCACCCGAAATGACACCTCTAAGGTCACATGTACAGGCTGTTTTTATAGATTAGTTTACACAATGCAAACTGATTTGCAACAATTAATTTATCCTTATTTTGTAACTTATAAGAATCCCCTTTGATGTGTCACTTTTTTCTTGCAATAATTACAAACTTTATCGTTGTAATTAGACTTTAATTTGCCCTTGTCATAACTATCGAAAAACTCTTACGAACAACAAGACCCTTTGTTTGAGCCTCAAATCCAACAAGAAGTTGTTTTATCTTCTCCTTAAAAAACAATATATTATAAATTTCATCAATGGTGAGAGTATCACGACTATACAAAATGGTGTCCCTGAACGTTATATATGAAGCAGACAACGAATACAATAAAATCAATCTTAAATCTTCATGGTCTCCAAATCAGAGACAATTTTCTTAAATACAGTTAGATGATCTTCTATAGACCCGTCTTCTCTCATACGATGAGAATGTAATCACTACTTCAAATGCAATTTATTGGTTAGACTTTTTGTCATAAAAAGTTGCTCCAATTTCAACCATATCACACCGATTTTCTCCTTTAAAATGTCCTAGAAAATTTGATTCAAAAAATGAAAATGAATTTGAGATATTGCCCTTCGATCATTACATTATTTCTCCTCCAAAGTCCAAGTTGAGAGTATCTTATCAAACCCCAACAAAGCATCATCAAAGTCCATTTGANAAAAAAAAAAAAAAAAAAAAAAAAAAAAAAGCTTTACGTAGAAACCCAACTCAGAAAAAACCACGAGCAAAGGAAAATAATTTACTAATATCAAAATATGTAAGGTGTACACATTACTTTGGATCAATCTCCCAAGAGATATAATTATTCCTATATATAATACAAAAAAAGTCTAACAAAAGGTAGAATCCTAATATAATAGGCCTAACAAATAATGGAGTGTTTGAGGCTGAATACGAGTCCAAAAACTACTAAAATCACAATTATAATTTTGGTCAAATAACACGACCCCTCGAGTGGCAGTTTCGTAGCGAGCGAGCGATCAATCCATCGCTCGAGCACTGGCCAGGCAGTTTGCAAACAGTGGAGTTCCTGAAATTAATGCTCTAAGGCTTTCTGTGTGGTTAGCGAGCATTGTTCGGCTAAATTCTTCTCCTTGTCGTCTTTTACTTCTTCAAAACTTTATCAAAACATATAACAACCTCCTAATAGACCTCTAAAATAGAATTCAGGTCACACCAAAATCCTAACAATTCTCATACCTTACCTTAGGTACATCATACCTAAAGTAAGCCCTAAACATTCTTTATTTCGACTTTACTCATGTGTTGCTTGCCTCCAAAGACTTTCTTATCAATGGAGCCACAAGCTCAATGTAAAGGCCTAAATGCCTACTTTTCTTAGCCCCATTGGTGACTTGTCCAGTGGAAGCAATAAATCAATCGCATGATTTATGCCATCTCTTACCGAGGCAAGTAGCCAATTGCTTGACTAATATCCCATCTCAAAACTGGCCAGACAAATCACTTGTACAATAGTGACTTTACCATCTTCTATAAGTTCATTGTCCCACTGGCTAAAAGGTTTTCCCAATATTACTATCACCACACAACAATTTGTTTCTTTGACCAACTCTGAAGGCTCATCCTTCTACCATTTGGAATGTGCACAAAAACTTACAAACTTGGAATTTTCTCCACCCGTCGCTTTGTCATTTTCCCACGAAGAAATTGATATATGGATTCATTAGATTCGACCTCTACATACCTAGTAAAAGGTTAACTATCATCAAGGTTGTCTTACACGCTCAAATAACTATAGTCAGCAATATTGCTTAGAATGGCAAAGCTTCTTGAATAAATTGCCTGCCAACGGAAAGCCAATAATTCATCTTGGACTCTATAGCACAAACATCATCCCTCTGAGCCTTCTGATAAAATTTACATCAAGCCTAAACAAACCATCAACTAAAGCTACACGTACATCTCTAAATGATGCTATTGACAAACCCACCACAAAATTAGGCTAATTTGCTTCACTGAATCGAAAGCAACCAATAACCATAAACGAGGCTACTTGTCTTCTCCAAGTTTATTGTCATCAACAACAATGTGTCATAGTGCTTTCGAAATTTGATGCAATATAAAATCATCCTGAAGCCAAAAAATTTTGATCC